GTATTTCTGATGAAGGGAACATTTTCCTGTATAATAGCTTCTATATATTCGATTTTGAAATTTATATGTATGCTCTCTGGGAAGAAATTTTACGAATTTGTGTCGATATGTTTCTTAGTTATCAACGCTGTATCCGAAAGTGCAAATTTTTAGTTAGACGAACACTGTTTTACTGCTTTAGCGTCAAACAATTCCGAAAGTATCTTTGTTGGTGCAGATTCCTGGGAAAATTTAGGATGGATTGTGGGGACAACGTTGGGAACGAATCCCTCCTTCTCATTAAGCAAGGAGCCGAAGCTGTAAGTGTATCCGTTCCTCCTCAATTTGTTAATCGCTTTTGCACACTCTTTTTTTCTATATGCAAATCAGTGACAAGATTTAGTCTTTACATTTTGTATTTCAGAGGGTTTTCGAGTCTACATTTGCCGGAAGAAGATCCATTGTGAAAGAACGATTCTCGAAGAAATACAGACACCCGATTTTGGATTCGAAACTCACACTCAAACGCTTGAATGCTGTTGGTTCCTAACCTTTTTTGTGTGTTTCTTTATTTAAAAATATGGAGAGACAAGTAAAAATTAGTTATGCTCTTGCGTATAGGAGGCTCGGTGTATGACAAAGGCAAGAAAGCTTGGGGTTTGTACTCCAGTCCTCTATGCCGTGGACACTCTGCTTCACACCTTGACACTTGAGTACGTCGAGGGAGTCTCTGTTAAAGACGTTTTCCTTGAGTTTGGGGCCAATGGGATCGACGAGGAACGGTTGGATGATGTTGCTGCCCAGATTGGAGTGGCCATCGCTAAGCTCCATGACGGTGGCTTGGCTCACGGTGACTTAACCACATCAAACATGCTAGTCAGGAGCGGAACAAATCAGTTGGTAAGTAGTGCTTCTGAGAGTCTGATATATATATATATGCTCACTTGATTAGTAATGATTCATGATAAAGACGGATGGATGGTCTTCTCTTAGGTATTGATTGATTTCGGATTGAGTTTCACATCGACCTTGCCTGAAGACAAGGCTGTTGATTTATATGTGCTTGAAAGAGCTTTGCTCTCAATGCATTCTTCATGTGGGAATGTGGTAAGAGCGATTGCATCATACTTTCCATTATTTGGCTATTTAGAATCTCCAATGTCATAGCTCTCCTTGTCTGAAATGGTGTATATTGTTTTCAAATGTAGATGCATCGTATACTGACAGCGTATAGGAAGTCCTCAAAGCAATGGTCAGCCACATTTAACAAGCTCGCGCAAGGTTCTGTTTTCCAAGATCCTTTGAAATAGCTTTCTTTTAATCTTTTAAAATCAACTGTGTGTTCAAATCTTACAAGTAGTCTTGTGTTGGGTATATGCAGTGAGACAACGAGGGCGAAAGCGGACTATGATTGGATGAGCGGCCACAAGACCTCCAATGGTTCTGTTCTTGAACTTGAACTTTTTAATGTTTAAAGATGAACACTAAGCCTGTTTTGTATTACACTGTGTATCCAATTTGTTCCATCTGTAAGATGTCAGAGATCAGGTTTGAGTGAGCGTTGGGCTTGTGGTTGTACCGTACGGTTTGGGAATGATGAGATTTGATGAAAAAGACTTATACATTATTTGATATGCGATCCATTTTTTTCCAATGATACCAGAAAACAATGCAGAAAGAGATAAAAACAGTAACATCATCCTTTTTCTTTTTACCCCTAAAACCCCTAAAAAAAACTCCATGTTCATGAAAGTGATGTTTAACCATACTTACACCCAAAGGA